CTCGGATCTGAGGGGTATCACATCAAGTCATTTCCACATTTTCACTTTTTGGATACTGTTCACATTTTGTCTTTTTCCCATTTGTCACTTTGTTGGCACAACCTCACTTTTTGTGTCCGGATTCGTGTCTACTTTTACATGCATTCATGGTATATGATTTCTTAGAAATGTGTATTTTTACTTTATTAGAAATGCATGTTATTAGTATACTTTCTTCCTTATGGGTATGGATGCATACTTCTTTGTAATTTTTCTTTCTTTTGGAGGTATTTGTGTAATTACTGTAAGTAATTATTTTTCGTCTTAGAGACCATTTTGCAATTTAATTTGGAAGATATTTTCAAAAAGGACCATTTTTTAATTTTTGAAAAAGTGTGACAAGTGTCATATTCTCATTGGTCCACTTGTTGACATTTATGTGGAGACACTTTGATGCCTTGAATGATGACATGTGGAGGGCGGAGATTCACCCAGTTGTTGACCTTGGATAGGTACACTTGTTGGCTTGGATGGTTAACAAGTGTAGGCTTAGGATTAAGCCTACAATGGATGCTTGGATGAGTGATAAATGTATGCTCTAAATTTAGTCTTACATTAGTGTGTGTGTGTGAGGTAGTGTAAGAGCACACAGTGAATGGAGGATTTCACCAAAATTAGTTTAGGGTTTTTATTTTAGTTTCATTTCATCTCTTTCCTCTCAAACCCTAACCTAGCCACCATTGAAGGAAAATCTTGGCTCAGAGCTTTAAGCTTCATTTTGGTCCTCTTCCACTCACCTTTGACTATAAAGCTTGGAATACAAAAGCTTTGCCTCACCTTCCTCATCATAACCCTAGAAAACCTCAAAACCAAAGTCAATCATTCCTATTATTCCTCAATAAAATAACACATTCACTTTCTCTAATTACAAAATTCTAAAGCAATATCGACACTTATCTTCAAGACACTACTCGAATTAAACGCCTATAAAAATATCCGAGTACATGACTCAGATCCCATCACTTAATCATCTTTAGACTATGATTCAAGACACATTTCCTAGTCATCACCACTAGTACTAAACATCAAAAACATAACCCCTATTCGGTAACTCATACCTCACATCCTACCAGTCAAAACCATTCTTAAAATAAACACTACAAAAACCAAAGACTCCACCTCCCTCCGTGGGAGTGAGTCAACCCCTTCCATCAGGACCTCAATCGATCAACTCTAGCAGCACAACAAACCGCTCATAAATCTGTCCGCCCACGGACGTGCACAACTCTTAGATAGAGAACAAGTCTTACGACGAACGACGTCCTTGCCAGAACTAGAACAAATGGAAAGGGTAATGAACCCTGCTCTCACAAGAGACTGATGACTCACACCTGAATGCACCCGACAACCTATCACACGCTACTCATCGTTTGTCCAACCATAGACACCCAATCTCACCTAAGATAAAGTGAACTTCCTACACACAAGGAAAGAACTAACTGAAAACACATACGGGACCATGAATACCAACGTAAGTGACATCGCCACCAACGGACCGTTCTACACAATTAACACAGAAACCTCGCACACTCTTCTCCGCAACACTATGCTAACCGTAACTAATCAGATAAGGGCACGAACGCCCATACGTACTAACACTAAGAACAATCATTGTACGTTGGACACTATGTTCCATTCTACCTAATACTCTCCCAATGTGAAACTCTATGAAATACAATGACACATAATCATCCGTTCCACCTCTACCCTTTGAAGGTGGCACTACCTCAAACACTATGCACATTAAACCCATGACCTTCGTCACAACAACCCACTGACTCTTTAAAAGAAAAAAGGATGCCTACTTGGCAATACCGCTTTCACTAGCCCTAAGGACTAAACTGTCCACAATCACCTTAATTGGCACACAATCCCATCACCTACTTGACAACATACAACAAACAACTCACAATCTCTACATCGCATTCGAATCACACCTTAAACCGTTCTACTCCTCAACACTTATCATCACACCATAACACCTTCACTACCACTCATTTAAGACAACGGTTCAAACCTATCATCCCATCAGACCATCTAACCACTACCAAGTGATTCTTCTTTCAATATCCTTAAGATACCATCACAACAATAGAATGAGCACCACTCTCAGTACTTCCCACAACGAACATTATTCACCATTTGAAAAGAACATTTATACGATAATGCCATGCCGATAAATCCTCAAAATAAAAATCCAAAATGCTCAACGCCCAACTGTCTCCTTAAAACCATCAACGATGTAATCAATCACCACTTTCTTCCCAGATACTGAGGTCACCCCAAAACTGACTTACTCTCCAATACAGGAACCTCAAGTACTAATACTCCCATAGTCATCCTTCCCAAAATAACTACACAACTCCAATTCCCTGGAAACAACGAACCTCCATTAATCAACCGCTCATTCAAAAGTGATACCAACCCGACATAAAACACACACATTACTCATGATACCCGACACCATAGTCAACAACCGGTTACAAGAAAATAAGAATTCTACGCGGCAACGATGCAGGAACAATCCCTAAGAAGGATAACAGACATCACACCAAATGGTCAACCACAAGTCATACCTATAACTGACCTATCCTACCAAACAAAAGGGTATACAACTCTTACACCACCAACACTATCATTTCCCAACCAATCATTACAATTTCCATCCAACACAATGGAATGTCCACATCGATTTCATCTGAGTTGTGTGTCTGCAACTCGCCCAGTGTGGTAGCCTTCTGGTGCCACCTGCACACGCTCACACACAGTCGCCCACAGGGCCACAAAACAAAGAAATTAAATAGAACAGGCCACCAAGCCGAAGAGGTTACTCCTTATTTTGGCTCGACACAATCTGTGACCAACACTCTATGGTCACAAAACAACATCACATTAAGCTTTTGCCTTCCTCACTGAAAATCAAAACAAAAGGTGCAACATACTCATCTCATCACCAACTCAAAGTCAACCTTAACTCTTACTCCCAAAACGGCAATCTAAGAGACAAACTCTCAACCTTAACATCAGTGAACTTCTAAACTTGTTTAACCCGTACAACATCTGAACCTTACAAGCCATACACTACATACCACCTCATGTCCTATGACATCTAATCAACTTTGCTTAACGAAAGGGTCCCATGACTCACACACCATACCATACTAACCCATCATCCCAAAGTTCTCACTACACCAAGGAAACACAACACAAACTCTCGCCCGTGCAAGAAAATGAGAACTTCCATCCCGAAAGACAACTAAGATCAACCCTATCACCGTTACCAGTCTTTAGGGAAAGGACTCCTAATGGAACCTTGTCATTTTAGTATGTTTTAAAATTTTAACCATGGAATTAATCTCATAAATATTGTCACTTATCATTAAATACTTAAGCATGCTTTAACTCAACAAATAATTAACACCTAAGCAGGTAAGCAAGTAAGCTATTAGGCATGCTTTTCAAAAAAATTAAACACTTAGCACATAAGCATATAAACATGCAATTCAACTTCTCATGCAATCCTAGGTAGGCTTCTACCCGTTATCCTAATAGTATTCGAACTATTGCTCTGATACCAAATTTGTAACAATCCTAAACTGATGCCAATTTAAAAAAAAAATTTGGCTTGACCTCTGCTAAAAAGGGTCCTAAACCAACTTGCTTAAATGCATAAAAAAAAAAAAAAAAACAATGACCTCTCTTGGACCTTCAGAATTTATCTAACCTTTCTGAGTTCATGGCAAAATGTACCACATTACACATATATAACCATTACTAATTTCTCAAAGACATAACATCAACCTCTCACTCAATTTAAGCATTTTCATAATCTCAATTTACATCCAAAAATAGTCAAGTATCTTAGTAATGTTACATGGCCGTAATTACAAAAAAATAAATACTTTTTTTTCCATAATTTGAGACTTTACAACGATTAGCTAAAACATAAAAGGTAACAAAATAGAACTCTAGTCCTCCTCATGCTTGAGAGGGATTGATATCCACTATTTCCTTTCCCGGCCCTAAAAAATGTTAAATAAAATGGGGTGAGCAAATTACTCTGCAGGTGGTGCCTAAGACACACCTCTTGTGACCCTGTGAATCCACACAATGAATAGAAATAAGGAATAGGGATCATACTATGTCGGAAAGGAATACAACATTAATTTCAATTTCATGATAAACAATGTCGTGCCATGATATACAATGCCATGTATGTCACTCCCTATACTTAAAATCACTTCCATTATTTACTTTTTAAACTGTTAATGTAACTCCCTTCGGTAAACTCTCAGCGACGAGAGAAGGATTGGCTACTGTCCCTGACCCTTGGTACCCCCGCGACGTCATTTGGGGCCAAATAGCTCAACCACGCTAGGGCGATCTCCTTAATTCCCTCTAGGCTACATTAACGCCATGGACCCTCGGTACTCCCTTGGCGTCGAGGTTTTCACAAATTTCTTTTCTCAAAAATTTTTTTTTTTTTCAAAACCCCTTTTCATTTCAAAACATTTCCCTTTCTTCATGCCCAATGACATGCATGTATATCTCATGCCTTCAATACTATAGAAATGGAAAAAAAATTATTATTTCACAGTTAACATGCTTCTTCATACAAGTTTCTAGCAAGTTAATAAGCATCATACGCATGAAGAATTAGCACATAAAGCATGCTCTTTCATACAATTCAATTAAATACACATACTCACATGCTTCATAAACATCATCAAGTTAATTAAGGAGGAATTCACACAGTTTAGAAAAATCAAACACAATAGGCATAGAGATTCACCACTTAAACATGCTTTTACATATCACATCAATTAATTCACATAATTGAATGCTTTAAATACACAATTAAGTCAATTAAAGGAATATTCAGCATAATTGAGCGTGCAATATAGCAAAACACATAGAAAATCTCACGAAGGAGTAAGAAGTTGTGGATTAAGAACTCCTACCTCTTAGGATGCAAAAACCCTCAAAATGGGTCTCAATTTTCGGGCTTCCTAGAGTGGCCAAAAACTGAAATTGCTGGTATGGATTTGAAGATTTCACTGTGCTCTTCGAATTGCCGCAAACGGCTCTTAAAAATACCAAAAGTTGAGAGAGAAATCTAGGATTGAAGTTTGAAGAAGAAAAAGAAAAGAAAAACAGAAGCTTGAGAGAGAGTGAGAGAAGCCCGCGGGAGAGAAGAGAGAAATGAGAGACCAACTAGTGTTTTGTTGGCCTTATGTTTGATATTGGTGGGTCCCACCATTTTCTTTTTATTTTCTTTTTTCTTTTCTTTTTAATTTACACCACATACATATATAAATACACATTAAATAATTCCACAACTTCATATAACACACTAAACAAAATAAATACGATGCAAATGGACCCAACTAAAATTTCCGTGAGCAACAATTCCGGTAGTGGGTCGTATACGGGACCGTCCGGCTCGAAAAACGAAAAAAATACAAGAATGATTACCCTTACATTTCAAAGAGTCCTGAACTCAATCAAATGTCCCAAACAACTCTAGGACATAACCGGCGCACTCCACAGTGTCCAGCACGCAAAACGACAAAGACGAGAATGCTGTGACAATCCGAATTTTTAAGTTTTTAAATTTAATTATCTTATAATTTTTAGTTGTCAAGATGTTATATTTATTTAAATTAGTGATTTACCTAATTGTAATATTAATGGATTAAATTGATTGTTTCGTTTTAATTAGAGACTTATTGAGATTGGGTCATTGATTATTGAATTGGAGAACAAAGAAATAAGAAAAAAGTTGAAATGGTTTTTTTGCACGAGTCCTACTGGTAATGATTTGATAGGCTTGTTTGGTTTCATTGTGTATATAATATATATATACACATAAAGCTTCAGGTGGGAAAAAGGAAGCTGCCAACCGAAATGAGGAAGAAATGAAGAGAAAATTGAATTTGACTTGTGCGGGTCCCACTGAAATGAATGTCTAAGGAAGTTTATTTGGTTTTTGCTACATTATGTATATAATGTGTATATGTATTTTGCATCGGAATGATGGGTTTGATTTTTAGTTTACTTGCATTTAGTTTGGTTGGATTTTGTATATATATATATATATAAATGTATGATGGTATTTGGTGGATGGAAATAGGCTACCGACAAAGGAAGATAATGAAAGAAAAGAAAAAGGGCAAAAAACGAAAGGAAAAGTGAGTGGGGGCGGGACCCACGAGTTGATTTTGTTGGCCAAATTTCCTTTGGCTTTGGCTGCACGTGGGCTTGTTGTTTAAATTGAGAGATATTGTGTATTGTCCGTATATTGAAATAAGAGTGGAGATAAGGAAGAGATGATGTGGCAGGACCCAGTTGCTTTTTGGTTCAAATTGTGATCATTGTACTGATATTTGATAATGTGATATTATTTTGGTGAACTGTATATAGAATTGGGTCGGTGGAATGCACTTATATAATGAGAGGGGAGAACATCGACATAAAAAATGACTAATAATAGGTGAAGCGCATGCTCCCTTGGTTTGCCAGAGGGTTTCTCCTTAGTGTAATCTTACGATTACCAAGAGGTGTTCTACTACAGTGTTCTTGGTTGTCGAGGACTCTGGTTTTTCCTTTCCCTTGTTTTGACAAGTCTGTGGATTTTCTTTCTTTTTCATGTGTTCTTTGGTTTTTCTTGTAAATTGGTTCATATTATTTTATCTATAGAGGATGATCTTGCATCTCAACTAGAATTTTGCAAGCTTTTCGAGGAGGAACAACGCGAAGTGATTATAGCGGAGAAATCGGCCTTAGATGGGTCTACATGGTGCGCTCACAGCCTGGCCGGAAAACTTTTTATCGAGAAACCCCTGAAATTATTCGGGATGCGCAAAGCTCTTAGTGAAGCTTGGGGTTGTGAAAGTTTACAGATGTATCATATTAAAGCTCTTATGTTCCAGTTTGTTCTTCCAACAGAGGATGATTGTGAGCATATTTTAAACACACGCCCATGGAGCTTTGATGGCGACCTTATTTCGGTAAAACACTGGTCACCAACTTTTGTTTTTTCGGATGCAGCATTTCTGAGTGTGCCCTTTTGGGTACGAGTTACAAATGTTCCTCTCCAACTTACCACCGAAGATGTGGCTACAGATATTGGATCTTCTTTTCTCTCCTGTGAAGCAGTTGAAGTCCGAGATCTGCATCTTAAAGGTGGCCGGTACCTTCGTATTCGGGTGGGGGTTGATATCTCTAAGCCTTTCCGACAAGGGGTTAAGATTTTACATGGTGATCATTGCAAGTGGACAAAATTTAAATATGAACGCTTACCATCACTCTGCTATAACTGTGGCCGAGTGGGTCATGAATTGGTCACTTGTTCATGGAAGGTCGACCAGCTTGTTGATGTCCGACAGTTCAGTTTGTGGTTGAAGGTGTCTGGAAAGGTCAGGAAAATTAAAAAATGCCATATCTCTACCGGATCTAGCAGTGCTTCCCAGTCTCTTAGCTCTCCGTCAACAGACCTAGTTTCTCCGGTGCTGGAGACTTTCATCGGTGATGGTTATAGTGGCAACAGTGATCCGATTACCACTCTTGGTCCGTGTTCTTCAATAGACGGAGCGATGTTAACTGAATCCAGCTGTCATCCCGTGGCGTGTCCTCCAAGTCCCAATCAGTCAGTGGCTGCTTTAGAGGTGGAGCCCTATTAATGTCTGTGTGGTTTGTGTAACCCTTAATCCCGAAGGCTTTGTTGGGCCAACTTTTGAGGCCCAATCTTTTGGGGGTCAACCCAGCGTGCAACCCATTTCCATTTCTTTGTTGAGCCAGTCTCATCTGGCCGGTCCTGAAGTTTATGGGCTTGCTTTATCTCCATCTCTTCATTTAGTCCAAGGCCCAACCCCACCTTTTGACCCAGGAGTGGTTCCTAATTTTCCAGCGTCGCCTTCTGTTTCTCGTTTGTGGAAGAAAAAAGCTCGATAACACGTCACTGCTGCATCTGAGGCTTCTCTGCCATTGTCTAAAAGGAAGTTGGATACTATTGATTTTGTTCCCCATCCAGATTTCAAGCAATCAAAAGGGATGGTTTCAGAAGTTCACAGCATGACAACTGCTGATAGTTCGTCGCCCAGTTCTCCAAATTTGGTGGTGGTAGCCAGCCCCGATTGGGCCCAACCCCCTCAATGAGAGTTTTGGTGTGGAATTGTCAGGGTCTGGGGATCCCCTGACAATTTCCCAGTTGAGGAGGTTAGTATCCCTCCACTCCCCCCTTTAATTTTTCTTTCCGAAACTAAAATGTGGGAGACCGGATTGAAAAAATCCAAGTGTCATTGGGTCAGTATGAATCTTTTATTGTGCCTTATGTGGGAAAGGCTGGGGAGTTGGCTCTCCTTTTTTCCCATGAGTGGCAAATATCCATTATTGATTTTACAGAATTTCAGATTACATGTCAAGTGACTGGTGACCGAGGTAGTCATCCTTGGTTTGTTACTGGGATTTATGGTTCTTGTCTTGAGAAGGAACGTGCTTATCAATGGCGGTATATTCACAGTCTAAAGTTCCAGTTAGGCCCGCGATAACTTTTGGTGGGAGACTTTAATGCTCTGTTACACAATGATGAGAAAAGAGGAGGACGTTTTAAAACCAGATGGATGCTTCGTGAGTTCAAGTTGTTTCTTAATGATTGTGCTTTAATGGATCTTCGGTTTAAAGGGTTTCCTTATACTTGGCATAATAAGAGAGCAACGGGTAAGCTCATCTTGGCTCGCCTTGACCGGGCTTTGTGTGCTGCTCAGTGGTTCAGCTCTTTTCCTCGATGTATGCTTCATCACTTATTAGTTCATGGTTCGGATCATAATGCTATCCTGCTGTGTTTAAATGATTCTATTTCCCACTCCAGACCATCTTTTTACTTCGATGCTCGGTGGGTAAAAGAAACTGATTTTAAACCCACGGTTGAGTCTGCTTGGGCTTCACACGGGGTTGGCTCTCCATTACACACTATTTCTCATAAATTGGCTCAATGCAAGACTGAACTTTTATCATGGAGTAAAGGTAGATGCACCAATGCTCGAACTCGGATTAATTTCCTTGAAGCTAGATTGAAATTCTTGAAATAGCAGATTTATGACTATGACAAGGCTGAATGTTTCAAATTGGAGAAGGAATTGGGCTTGTGCTTGGTGCGATGAAGAACTGTACTGGCTTTAGAAAACTTGAATTGCTTGGTTGAAGTAAGGGGACAAAAATACCATGTATTTTCATAGAAAGACTCATATCAGGCGACGGAAAAATGAAATTATTGGGTTACAGGATTCTGCTGGTACATGGAGAGATTCTAAAGATGATATTCGGCAAGTTGCGGAAGATTATTTTCACTACCTTTTCTCTTCCCTTCTGGATCAAGATGATTATCATTTTTGGGGTTCTATCCCTTCCAAGGTTTCGTCAGGTATGAATCAAGAGTTGCTGAAAGATGGGACTATTGAGGAGTTGTGGGCTGCTTTAGCAAGTATGGGGTCCTATAAAGCACCGGGGCCAGATGGTTTTACCCTACTGTTCTTCAAAACAAATTAGGATATTCTGAAGTTTGATCTTCTTCAAGGTTTTAATTCCTTCTTACATGGTGGTTCGCTTCCTCCTAATCTGAATGCCACTAATATTGTCCTCATTCCAAAGGTTAAACATCCTACCCAAATGTCTCATTTTCGTCCTATTTCCCTTTGTAATGTGGTGTATCGTTTATTCTCTAAAACTCTTGCCAACTGAAGTTTTTCTGCCCCTTATCATCTCTGAATCCCAGAGTGCTTTTGTCCCTCATCGCCTTATTCATGACAATATTCTTCTGGCCCATAATCTTTTGCATGTTTTAAAGTCTAAAAAAGACGAGGATTCTAGTTTTCTTGCACTTAAGCTTGATATGGCTAAGGCTTATGATCGAGTTAAATGGTCTTTTGTTTGTAATTTCATGAGTCATTTGGGTTTTAGCCAACGGTGGGTGGATTTGATGAAGGAATGTATCAGTACTGTATCTTTGTATCTTTTTCAGTAATGTTGAATGGTGAAAAGGGGGATTCGTTTGTTCCTTTTCGAGGCTTGCGTCAGGGAAACCCTCTCTCCCCCTTCTTTTTTCTTTTCTGTACTGAAGGGTTGTCCCATTTATTTCGGCAGTTGGAGAGTAGGAAAAAGTTGAATGGTTTAAAAATGGCCAGAGGTTGTCCTCCTATTTCTCACTTGCTTTTTGCAGACGATGTCCTTCTCTTCTATAAAGCAAAGCTTTCTGAGGTCCGCGGTATTAAATTCATTTTGGACAAATACGATGGCCTAACGGGTCAACTGGTTAATTTTGATAAA